GTAAAGAATCCCATACCAAAGGTAAGCCTGTTGTTCTGTCACTCTGAACTTGCAGAGTTTTCCAGCTGGCTGATAGTGGCTGAGTCTAGCATCAGTCTATAGGAACTCCAACCAGGGTCAAGCCTACAGGTTTGTTGGTCAGACCCAAACCCAGGTCAGAACTAGCAGAGCTAGCACCGGCTCTGGATTCAGGAGGACCTGAGTTCAAATCTGGCCTCAGACACATAACACTTATTAGCTGTGTGACCCTGGGCAAGTCACTTAACCCCATTGCCCAGCCAAAAAAATAATAATAATAAGTAAACCTGAGCAATCATAACGGACTAAATGAAGACAAACTATTAGCATTCTAATATGGGAAGATGATAAATATGTCCCCTAAGAATCCTATAATCATCATCAGGAGTTATAGAGGGAGTCTAATTAGACAGAGAGCTTGGAAGTGGGTCTGTTATATTTTGATGATCTTAAAAGAAGAATGGAAAGGGAGAGGGAAAGGAATATACTAGGATTGAGGAAAGGGAGAAGAAGGATGGGAGAAATTATTTCACATACTTGGAGTATGAAAGTAGAAATCTGTACAAGGAGAAAGGGGTGGGAGGAGTGGAAGAGAACTGAACTGGTGAAAGGAGGAAGAACACACTCACAGCTGAGTACAGGAAAACATTTCACACGACAGGGCATTATCTTTTTTTGAAGACTTTTAGGGGACACCTTCAAAGTCTCTTGCCTCTTAGCAAGGTTGGAGATTAGAGAATTCCTATGAGGGGTCTTTCCCAGCCCAAGAGATACCAGCATCCAGAGCACTGAGATTTTCCTAAGAAGCATCATAAGCAATATGGTAAAAGCAGAATTTGTACTCTCACTTGGCCCTATAGTTCATGTAGTTGTATATGTACATGAACAATGCTTATGAACCCTTGGTAAAAGAAAGGGGATGATGAATTTTTGTAGGTAGAATGATTCCAGAATTAAGCTATCTAGTCAGAAAAGGGAAATTTCTTGGGTACTGTAAGCTTTGGAAATGCCTCATAGGTAATCCCAAAACCAAGAACTCCTCAATTGGAGAGTTTGTGCATCAGCCTTTTAGAGGGGAAAGATTATCTCAACCGCATGCTTCTTGGAGAAAGAAATCTATCTGCATAGTTTCTGAGCAACATTCTACTTGTCAAGCAAAGCTAACGAGTTAATCAGACAGGTCATGTTCAATTGAAAAGAGATTACTTGTTTAGAGCCCCCCCCCCCCAGTATCTTTACCATCTAGAGCGAGTCTAAACCACAAGGTGGTACTATGAATTTGGGGGAGGGGGACTGTTTAGGACCCTGGGGGGGAAAAGGAACCAGAATGTCGAAAAGTTTCCCTGATAGCAACATCAAGTTCATTTCATTCCTGGGGGAGGCAACAGGCTATTTGAGTGCTTAATATGATCTCCATACCTCTTTAGGGGTTCCTATGAGTTCTTTGTATAGTCTGTATTTTCTTTGAGATGAAATTAAGGTTGTTCCATGCATGATTTGCATATGAGTTGCTTGAGTGCTTGTACAAGACTCTTTTACCCACATTTTGGGGAAATCTAAATGCGTTTTACTTGATCTACATTTGGAGACTTCCTATAGTAATTCCATGTGGAAGCAATGAACAGATGAGAAAAAAAGTTACCTTCTTAGGTTAAACTGCCTAGATAAAACCTTGTCTATGAGAGCCCAGCACCTTTTGTGGTTGGAGTTGGGTCATGAGCTGCAAAAATACCACTTCAAAGTGTGTAAGAAGGGAATGAATTGGGGCAGCTAGGTGGCCCTGGAGTCAAAAGGACCTGAGTTCAAATCCAGGCTCAGACACATGATACATACTAGCTGTGTGACCCTGGGCAAGTCACTTAACCCAAATTGCCTCACCAAAAAAAAAAAAAGGAGAAGGGGGAAGTTTATGAGAATGCATCAATATGGAGAAATGGAATGCTGAGTTCAGGAAACAGCTTGCAATCCAGTTTGACTGGATAGTAAGAGTTCATGAAGTATAAATAAGGCTGCAACTAGACTGTGCAGTTCTTCAAAGCCTGGCAAAGGTTTGTATTTTATCCTACAGGCAACAGGTACCCAAAGAAAAATTTTCAGTAGAGGACTCAGCTCAAACTGGTTTGGGAGAGTCAATTGTTGAATTGTCGGTGTGGGCATTTACACCTTGGACATAGGCAAATGCCACAAATCAAGGATTCAATTATTGTTTTATTGATTATCTAGCCTTTAGAAAGTGATGGAGTAAACATTAATAATGCAGATTAAACTTAAAAGCATGTCATACATACATTTTTATTTCTGGGAAGCTGGTTGTAAAACATTAGCCAGCATACCACAAGGAGTAACCTTATCAAGCCATGCTCCTTAGGAAAATTATTTTGGCAGCTATGTAGGAGATAAATTGGAGAGTCTAGAAGGAGGAAACCCATTAGTTCAGCCAGTCAATAAGCATTTGTTAAGACCTTATTATAAACCGACACTTGTATTCAGCACTGGGTAGATTTAAGGAGAGATTAGAATTAGTAAAAGAAACTCGAACATCAGAGGATGGGTTGTGGAGAGGAAAAGAAAAAGGGGAGGATGGGAGGGAGAAAAAATAAGGAAGTGAGGGAAAGAAAGAGAAAGATAGATAGGGATGTAGAAGGAAGGAAAGGGCTTGATTTGGGGGTTTTGGGGAGGGGAAGAGAAGACGGGAAAGCAGAAGCCAATTGTATCAAATATTACACTAGTACTGAGCATACCTCTCTCTCATTACTCTCTTTAAATTCACATATTGGTATGTCTTTATTAAGGGGGTGTTGAGGAGGCAAGGAAAGGAAAAAGCACAAGAGGACAGCAGGGAGGGAAATACTCAGTGAACATGAATGGGATGGATTCATCTATAAAACAGAAGAAAGAACTAGAAAGCAGAATCCAATACGTTGTTTACACACTTGAAAACGTAAATATTCACACAGCCTTAAAATTAGGAGCTAGAGCAAAATTAATTACGCTTCAGATGAATTTTGTTTTTTTTATTTTTTTTTCTTCCGATGAATTTTTAAAAAGTAAAGGTAATAATCATAATCTGAAAAAAAGAAGCAGTAAAAGTGGAGTGGATTAAAAGAGAAAAACAGGGAAACTCTATCATACATAAAGGCACCAGGAACAGGGAATTAATATATATGCATTGAATGGCATGGCATTTAAATACCTAAAGAAAAAAGTTAGATGATTTATAGGAAGTAGACAGTGAAATTATAATAGTTGGGGAACTCAACGTATACTTCTAAGACTTAGACAAATCAAACAAAAAGGAAAACAAGAAAAAAATGAAGGTCCTGAATAAAAATTTGGAAAGGTTAAATATGCTAGCTCTTTTTTAATCACTGATTTGGAATGGAAAGGAGTATACATATTTCACAGCTGTGCATGGCTCCATTAAATTGGCAATGTGTTAGGACAAAAAAACCCCTCACCAACAAATGTAGCAAAGCATAATATAATCAAATTCACAGCATAATAAAATCACATTCAATAAAAGGACTTTAAAGAAAGTAATAAAATTAACTGGGACTAAATAATTGGTGGGTCAAAGAACAAATCTTAGAAACAAAAAATAATTTCATCAAAGAAAATGACAAGAAGTGTACATCTGAAAATTTGGGGTAAGACAGCCAAAACAAATCCTTAGGGTAAAATGTATATCTCTAAACATTTTCATCAACAAAAAGAGAAAGAACAGATAAATGAATTGGACAAAACTAGAAATGCAACAAATAAAAAAATCATGGCTAAACAACAAAATAAATTCTGAAAAGCAGAAAAGCAAAAAATAATCCATCGAATTGATAAATTAAACTAGGATCTTTTAAAAACAATAAAATGAACTATTAGCTAGTCTAATTTTAAAAAAACTAAGAGGATGCCCATCAATCTGGAATTGTCAAAAGTAATGGGATATTATTGCATGCTATGAAATGATAACAGAGGTGGTTTTAGAAAAACCTGGGATGACTTGTATAAACTGATGCAGAGTGAAGTGAGCAGAACCTGGAGAATAATTTACATAACAATAACATTGTAAAGAACAACTAGGAAAGACTTAAGAATATGCAATGATCTAAGACAATTCCAAAAGACTCATGATGCAAAATGCTACCCACATCCAGACAAAGAACTATAGAGTCTGAATGCAGATTGAAGCATATTATTTCCTCTCTCTCCCTTTTTTTGGTTTGTTTTTTCTTTCTTGGGGTTTTTCCCTTTGGTTCTGATTCTTCTTTTACAACATGACTAGTGTGGAAATGTGTTTTAATATGATCGTACACGTGTAGCCTATATCAGATTGTATGCATTCTTGGGAAGGGGGGAAAAGGAGGGAAGGGGAAAATTTGGAACTCAAAATCTTATAAAAGTGAATGTTGCAAACTAAAAATGAATAAATTTTTTAAAAAAAGAAATGATGAAGAGAATAGTTTTAGGGAAGACTTGTATGAATTGATACAAAGTGAAGTGACAATAATTAGGAGATTATTTTATACAATAACAATATTTTAAAGACAATCAGCTTTGAATAACTTGGGAACTGTGATCAACACAATGATCATCCACAATTCCAAAGGACTCATGATGAAATACGCAACATATCCACCTCCAGACAGAGCCAATACACTCAAGAAACAGACTGAAGCATATTTTCTTTTCTTTCTTTCTTTCTTTGACATGACTAATAAGGGAATTTGTTTTGCATGACCATAAAAAAAAAGTTACAACAGATTCATGGGTTTATGTTCAATCTTCCACTGTTTTAATTTGTACATGAAAATGCTCATCTTATTTAGTGTTTAAGTTCGCAATTTTTTAAAAAAAAATCATTGCTGCTGTATTCTTTCTCTTCTTTTTCTTTCGTGCATCACTATCGCTATTTCCATCCTTACCCGCACCCCCAAAGGCCTCCCGCACAACAAATAAACATAGTTAATAAATCAAAACAAATTTACTCTTTGATCATGCTTCAGCACGTCACCTCTGCCAAGAAGTGGTCCAGCGGGGACTGTATTTCCCAGAATCCGTAGGGACAAGCTCAGATTCCGTTTCCCAGCATCTATCTCCAAGCCTGCCCGGGAACGGAGCGCCCCCGAGGCCTTTGGGAAATGAAGTCTGGACGGAGGAAGCGGAAGAGGCCCGAAGAAGGCTGCGGGTAGTTCGACCGCTGGCGTGTGCGCAGGCGCAGCTGTGCGGCGGACTCCGCTCCCAGGAATCTGGACCCCACTCGATCTGGAGGTAAAGCCCACGCCGGGAGTGCCGCGCGCGCGCTGCTGTGATTGGGGTTGTGTCGGGAGGGCTGGTCGGTGGCAAGCGGAGCCTGGGAAAGGTGGGGCGGGATACCCGTACCGCCGACAACCGGACTTTCCTCCGGTCTGCAGCAGCGGGAGCCTGGGTTCTGGGCTCCGGGGAGTCTGTTTGGGTGTCCGTCAACCTATCTGGTCAAGGCGTCACGCATTTATTAAGCGCCTATTGTGTGCCCAGGGTCTGTGCTAAGCGCTGGGGAGACAAAAAGAGGCAAAAGGCAGCCCCTGCCCTCGAGGAGCTTACAGTGCAATGGGGGAGACAAGCAAACATATGCAGGAACAAGCTATAGACAGGAGAAATAGGAAATAACAGAGACACCATCGATATTTATTAAACGCCTGCTGTGTGCCAGGCACCGTGTTAAGCTCTGGGTATATGTAAAGGGGCGAAAGGTAGGCTTTGCCCTCAAGGAACTTATAATCAAGTGGGAGAGACAAGGAGCATATATGTAGGAGCAAGCTATAGACAGGATAAATGGGAAATTGTCAACTGAGACATAATATTTGTTCAGTGCCTACCGTGTGCCAGGCACTGTGCTAAGCATTGGGGGCACAAAGAAAGGCAGAAGACATTCTCTGCCCTCGGAAAGCTCGCAGTCTAAGGTGTGTGTCGGGGGGGAGACAACACGCAAACCACTATCCCCAAACATCATGTATGCAGATAAATGGGAAGTAATCAAAAGAGGGAAGTCACAAGCACTGAGAAAAGTCTTCTGGTAAAGTGAGATTTTAGGTGCAACCAGAAGGAAGCCAGGAGGTGGAGATGGAGTTGGAGAGCATCCCAGGGGTGGGAGACAGCCAGGGAGCATGCCCACGAGAGGTGAAGGTTCCTGATCATGGGACGGAAAAGAGGCTGGGGTCACAGCATCAAAAAGTATTCGTTGGGGAATAGAGATAAGAAGGCTGGAAAGGTAGGGGTGGGGTAAGTTATGAAAGGCTATGAATGCCAGATAGAGGATTTTATATTGGAGACAATGGAAAGCCATTGGAGTGTATTGAGCGTGTTGGGGGTGGGGAGGGAGTATGACATGGTTAGGCTTTAGGAAGATCACCTTTGACAGTGGAGAGTGGAAATAAGCATTTAAGTGCTTACTATGTACCATGCACTATGCTAAGCACTGGGATACAAAGCAAGACAAAACACAGTCCCTGCCCAGTTCTAAAAGGGGAGACAATGTGTAAACAGCTGTACCTACAAAATAAATACAGTGTAAATGAGAGGTAGTCTCAGAGGGAAGGGGGTAAGAGAGAATGGGACTGGAAAAGACCTGCAGAAGGTGGGATTTGAGCTAAGCTTTGAAGGAACCCCGGGGTGGAGCATTGTGCCTGCAGGTGTTTGTGTGGGTGCTGGTCTGGGTTTCTCTGAAAGTGCCTGAACTAATTTTCAGGAGTTAGAATGTGTGCATGGTGAGGGCACAGGCCACTTGCTGCTTTTCTTTGTTTCCCTAGTGCTTAGCACAGTGCCTGGCACATGATATGCACTTAATAAATACTTGCTGATGAGTAAATGACTGATTTGGTAGAGTAGTCTGGCGCCTCAGTTCTCCAGACTTCCAGGTAGAAGTCTTGTAGACTTTGACCAAGTCTTGTAATTTCTGTCCTTTGGAAGGAGCTCTGCAGTTTGACAATTTCTTCTTCATTCCTATTGCTGCCACCCTAGTCCAACCCTGATCAGCACATCTGCCCAGCTGGTCTTCCTACCTCCAGTCTCTTCCACCCTCAGCCCAACATAATCTTTCAGAATTGAGCATATCACTGCCCAGCTTGAGTCCACACTAGGACCTTGCTACTGACCTCAGCATGGTCAGACCTCTGGTAATGGGATGTGGCCGAAAGAGGACTGGATTGGGAATTAGTTCTGTGTTGGTGTCCTAGTGCTTCTGCTTAGTAACTATGTAATCCTGAACAGATTCCTTTATTTCTCTTTCTCAGTTTTCTGAGATCTTATAAATTGTCTACTTTCACTACCTTTCAATTCATTCAGCAACCATTTATTATGTACTTACCACACTCAGGCCCTGGAAATATAAGGCTAAAAAAACCCCAGAACACCAGCCCCTGCCCTGAAGGAGCTTAAATTTTACTTGGGAGGTTTAAGACTGAGCAACACCTGCATCTAAAATAAGACCTTTTAGGGAATTTGAAAGCAGAACAGTGACCATCTCCTAGTGGCACATTAAGGGCTTATAGGCCACAAACATTCCATTCTCTTTCCACCTCTCAGGAATCATCTTTTCTCTAGCTGACTTTAGACATGCTTGGTTTTTTTTTTTTAGTAAAAGTATTTACTGTATTAATCTGTTTAGCATATATGCCTTTTTACCATGTACCATAGTGATTATGTATCTCATTAAATATATAATCATATTAACTGGTATAAATTTAAGTTGTTTTTATATTCTTTTCAAGGAACGTTTGTTGTTACTTACAGTATGGTGTCATCCTAAAGTAGAAATAAAACATTTAAGGGGTTTTACAGTGAGAGAAAGAAAAAACACCTAAAGGGAAAGTAGGGTTAAAAAAGAGTTTATTTAAGATAAGCTCTCAGAGGAGACCTATGGGTGCTTCACAATAGGAAGAAAGAATCTGTGGAGAAGAAGAGATTGAAGATTCAGGAGAGGAAGGGGATAATTGTGGGCTTGAGATCCCAAAGGTGATAGAGGAAGATAGGATGGAGGGGTAGAGGAGATAGCATACAGGAAGAGGAAGACCACCCTTCCTAGAACTTGTCTAGGAAGGCAGCCAAGATGATGAAGATGCCACATGAAGATTAGTTGAAGGACCAAGGGATGTTTAGAGCCTTTGGGGTGGAGTAGGGGTGCAGAACCGTGATCACTATGGCCATATGTGTAAAGAATTGTTATATGTACGTTGGATTAGACTTGCCCAGTTTGGTCCCATAGTATAGAACCAGTAGCAATGGGTAGAATATGGAAAGAAAGGAATTGAGACTTGATGTCAGAAAAAACTTCCTAACTAAGCATTCCAAGAGTAGAACAGGTTGCCTTTCACAGAAGTGGGTTCTCACTCATTAGAAGATTTTAAGTAGGGTCTAGATAACCATTTGAGTATAACAGGTTTCCCTTTGGTTATAGGTTGGACTAAATGACCAATTGAAATCCTGTCCACCTTTAAATTCTGTGAATTCTCTGATTCTTCTAAGGAAAGGGTGAAAGCACAGATGTAGGGTCTGTGAAATAAAATGACAACATATGATAAACCCACAGTGTATGGTCTGAAATATTTTCTGTTAAGTATGTAACACAAAGACATCCACTGAAAAAGAAAGTATGAGAGTCAAGTCAATAAGCATTTATTAAGCCCCTGCTATGAACCAGACACTGGAGCTACAAAGAAAGTTTAAAAACAAAGCAAAGCAGTGTCTACTATCAAGTGTAATGGGGAACTCAGTATAATGGGAGAGACAACATGCAGACAGTAACTTTATTCTATTCTGTTCTGTTTTTATTAAAGCAGGGACATTCTTTTCTAAGTTACAAAAGGGAGGAGAATGAGGTTCTTAAAGGGAAAGAAACAAGCAGAGCAGTGTTGGGACTATCATATTACTTTAGAAACAGAAAGAATGGAAAGGTCTATATGAACTGATGCAGAGTGAAGCAAGCAGAGCCAGAAAACATATACACAATGACTACAGCAATGTAAATGGAAAGAGCAACCACACAAAACAATCTACAGTGAATATTGCCAAATTCTAAAGAACAAGCGTGGCTGGGAAGAAGAGACATGAGAAGACGCCCTCCCCCATCCCATTTGCAGAGGTAGGGAGTCCACAAGTGTGGAACATTTTTTATAGTTTCAGAGTTTTTTTAATGAATTGATCAGTTATATTAGTTTTTTCCTCCTTTTTTTTGTCTTGGTAAAATAATTATTATATGGGATAATGTTTTGGAGGGGGTGGGGAAAGGATACTGAGGAAGATTATGGTGATATAAAAAAAGACATTAATAAAAACTTATTTTAAAAAATAAACAGATAGACAAAACCCAAGCTATGTGTATCAAAGACTTGTGGTTTTATATGCAGTCCTCTTTTTCTATTTATTTTTAGATAGGGATGTTCATATTTCTTGACATTTGTCAAATTCATAATATCTAAAAGGGGAAAAAAATAAAAAAGAAAACAGTGTACCAATTAAAAAAAAACTAATGACATATAGGGAAATTATTTTTGTGAGGAAGAAAAAGGCAAGCTCCCCAAAAAGACTGATGTGGCCATCTAGGGTACTCATTAACAAACTCATTTTAAAAAGTTGGGTAGACATATATAACCTATATCAAATGCTTGCTTTCTCAGTGAGGGGGGTGGGGAGGGAGGAAGGGAGAGAATTTGGAACTCAAAGTTTTAAAAACAAATGTTAAAAATTGTTTTTACTTGTAACTGGGAAAAAACAAAATAATAAATACAATAAAAAAAATAGATGGAACTTCACAAAAAAACATGGTCATAACAATTCTATAGGGTACTCTCAAGCCCAGAATGAGGCTGGCAAGGAAAGCTAAGGCCAACAAAAAGGGGATTTATTTGTTTGTTTTAACTATGTTGGGGTCAAGAGGAGTCCCAAAGAAAGTATATAATTGTTATTAGGGACAGATGGAACAACAGATGACAGTGAGGTAGATGAAATACTCAAATATTATTTTGCTTTTGATTTTTAGGGGAAATGGCCTTTGGAACTGAAGGTAGAACAAACATTTTTACCAGGGAGTGGAAACCAAAGATAAATCAGGAGACAATCAGGCAGCATTTCTCTGCCCTCAAAGAAATCAAGTTACCAGGCCCAGAAGAATTGCATCTTAGATAAAGAGAGAACTGACAGATGTGATTCCTGAATAGTTGGCTATGATCTCTGAAAGATCTTTGAGAACAGGAAGGTTGCTAAGGGACTTAAAAAGAGCAAACATTCCGATTTTCAAAAGAGGGAAGAAGGTGAACTACAGACTTTATCAGTGAGCTTGACTTCCATTCCTGGGAAGATTCTAGGCCAGATAATTAAAAGGTTGGTAGTGTCAGTCTTTAGAAAGGGAAGGTGTTGGTCTCTAAATTTCAGCATTACTTTATTAAGAACAAGTCTTACTAGATTAAACTTATTTCTGTTTTTCACAAGGTAAATGGACTTGCAAGGTCAGGGGAATGGTATCCACATGATATATAGATTTAAAGATTTCAGCAAAGTTTAATGTGGTGATTATATATAAATTGGAGCTGTTTGAGCTAGATCAAAGTTCTTAACCTCTGATCTGTGAACTTCTTTTTGAAAATGTTTTTATGATTATTTCAGTATAATTGGTTTCCTTTATAAACTGATGAATTTTATTGTGATGCATTTAAAAACATTATTCTGAAAAGTGGTCCATGGACTTCACCAGACTGCCAAAGGGGTCCATGACAAAAAGTAGGTAAGAAAGCCTGAGCTAAATGATAACAAAATTATGTGTATTTGGAACAAATTGACTATCCAAAATTGAAGAGAAGACATCAGTGAGTCATTGACACCATGGAAGGATTTCTCTGTTGGAGTTTCTTATTTGGTCTTTGGCCCTGTACTATTTATTCATCAATCTGTAATAACTTGAAAGGTAAATGGCATGTTTCTTAAACTGCAAATCATATGAAGTTTAAAGAAAGAGGTAATAGATTAGGTGGCAGAGTCAAGATTCAAAAAGATCTTGATAGGCCTGAATAATAAATCAAGTGAGATTAAATTTAATAGCAATGGTAGCTACTATAGCATTGTGTCAAGCACAATTATTATCTCATTTGATTCTCACAACAACTCTAGGAGGTGGGTGCTATTCCCCCATATTACAGTTGAGGAAACTTAAGTAAACAGGTTAAGTAACTTGTCTAGGGTCATACAGCGAGTGTTTGAGGCCAGATTTGAACTCAAGTACTCCTAACTTCAAATGCTTATCCACTGTGCCACCTAGCCACAGCAGATATATTTATACAGATAAAGGTAAAGTTAAACATTTGGGTTCAAAAATTCAGTAGCACAGGCATAGGAAGGGGGAGGTATGGCTAGACAACATTTCCTATGAAAAAAGATTTGAAGGTTTTAATCAACTTCTTCAAGTTCTGTGTGAGTTGGCAGTGGGATACGGCAAAAAGGCCAAAAACCCCCAAACCCCCCAGCTATTAAAGGCTGTGTCTAGAGAGGTCACTGTTGAGAACAACAGGGACAATTGCCCTGCGATTTGCTGCCCTGATCAAGGCTGTGTCTGGAGGACGTGTTCATTTTTCTGAGTGCTACTTTTTAGGGAAGTCAGATTGGAAAATGGATGGGGGAGGTGTGTGATCTTTGGGAGGAAATAACAAATGTAAAAAGAAAGAGCATTAGTAAAATGTAAAAAAAATACACATTAGAAAGGAAAATGAGTTCAGATAAAGACAGTTTTGCTAGAATCTTGTTAGATATAATATGGGCTTTGGGAGAAATTTTAAAAATCAGTATTTTTTGTTTTTATGTCATCTTCATTTTTCAGTGTATCTATATATCTATATCTATATGTCCTCCCTCCCATAGAGACATTCTGTATTAAAAAAAAATCAAAAGCCAATGAACACTTCGACTGAGTCTGACATATGCGATGATCCATAGTTTCCTGCCTCTGCAAAAAATAGAGGAAGATGCATTCTCTTAACTCTTTTGGAACCAAGCTTTGTCATAATTTCACAGCATTTTTTTACTTCTTTTGTTCTTTCCATTTACATTGTTATAGTCATTGGGCATATTATTTTCCTGGTTCCCCTTCAGTTTGTGTTGGTTTATACAATACTTCTTGTTTCTTTGTATTTTTCATGTTTATCATTCCTTAAATCACAATAAAAATATGCAGTTTTTTAAAGGAAACTATGTCATGGAGGTTTCACATATGTTCTTTTTTGTATATTGGAGTCTTTGTATTTAAGTTCATTATAAAAAAAAGAAAAAGTTTTAAATCAGTAGAAAAACTAAAGTGTATACTTATGGAAACTAGCATGCATGATGGGGGAGGGGTCTTCCACTCTTTAGACATCTGCTTATATCCATGAAGGACTAGAAAATATTCCATACAAGTCTCAATGAAAAGAGTTAGAAATGTTTAGCAGGGAGGAGAGAAGGTTTAGAGCGGATAGGGATAACTTGTGTGGAAGGGGGCTAGACTTATTGTGCTTGGCCCCTGGCCAAGGGAAGAGCTGTGAGAAAGCAGATTAAGTCACCATGTAGGGAAGCTGTCCAATGGCGGAATAGGCCACCTGAGGAGAGGAGAGGATCCCCTGTAGTAGAGGTCCCCATGGACTATGTAGCCACTGGACAGGTATGCTCTGGAAGGGCTTTCTATTCAGGTACAAAGTATGCTAGATGGCCTCTGAGATCCTTTCCCCTTCTTAGACTTGTTGGTTCGGTGACGTGAGGTGTCACTAAAAACCATGAAACAGATTTTGGTGAGTGGTTTCTGTTCCCACTCCCATTGATTTTTAGTCCCAAGTCATAGCCAGAGAGCAGATGAGAAGCTGTGGTCACCTAGATTATCAGAGGCACAGCTACTCAGCACCTTTCTGATTCTGTGTCATGTAGGCCATTTTGGAATTAATTCTTCATAAAGTATGTGAAACAAGGAAGAGAATGAGAATGATTTTCCCTCAGTGAAGGAGGCTGGAGGCAGAGATGTCAAGGTGTGTAGTTCGTAGGAATAGAGCTTGAAAGGACCCTTGAGGTCGTCAAGTCCAACTAGCTTCATTTTACCGGTGAGGAAATTGAGGTCCGGAGAGGTTAAGTGACTTGCCCAAGCTCACACAGATACTAAGTGACAGAGGCAGTATTTGAACTCAGGTATTCTGACTCCAGAGCCAGTGATCTCTTTTCACTGTAGTACACCGAACTAGGTGAGGACCGAGACGTTAAGTCAAGCCACATTCCTGACTCAGAACCCAAGCTGTTCTTGGTAATAGGTTACAACATCTCAGGCCCCATCTTGGTTCTTCTGCCTTATCTGGAGAGGGAGCAGAGCAGCTATGTCTGGACTCCTTCTGTCCCCTCTCTTCGCAAGGTATGAAGCAGGTGGGAAAAATCCTACCAAACTGTTATGTACAGATTCTGGGAATTGCAAAATGAGTCCAGGCTACCTCATGTCCTCATTCTCTTTCAACAGCCTTGTATCTCTGGACCTTGACTTTCTCCTGGAGGGAAATACAGAAGAAGAAATGGCTCCTGTGTTGTTTACAACCAGGCCCCAGGTGAATTGATCTTTCCTTTCTTTTTCCTGAAATGCAGTAATAATGTCCAGAATATGTATACTTTTTCTTCCCTCGTCATGAAGCATCTCTGCCAGGAACCAGAGCCCCCAATTCTTCATCCCTAGGAAACTGCCCCATCTTGGTGGATGATGGACTGTAAGTAATGCTTCCTCCTCTAGTGCCTTCCCTCACTGTGACCCAGGGATAGGCCCAGTGACTTGGAGATGAGATGCTTTCTGCCTTAAGCCTCATACCTCTATCTCTGGCCTTATTCCAAAGGACTTAGAGCCCTTGATTTCATCAGACCTACTTCATCTATCTCTGTAGTGCATTTAATCAACTCCCTTTTCTGAGGAGGAGGGTCCAGGGTGACCAAGAATGTGTTTGTTTCAGGAATCAGTGACATTCAAGGATGTGGCTGTGAACTTCACTCAAGAGGAGTGGCAGCAACTGAACCCAGCTCAGAGGGACCTGTATAGAGATGTAATGTTGGAGAACTATAGAAACCTCATCTCACTGGGTAAGGATAGTTTCATTCGGCAATTCAGAATCTGTACAGCATAAAGAAAATATTCTTTTAGCATAAATGGAAATAATTAAATTACTTTTTTAAATTAAGTGCTTATATCAGATCTTAGCTGGTATACTATACTACAAAGTGGTAATCATCAAAACAATCTACTGAATGAGAAAAGAGTGGTTTAACAATGGAATAGATTAGGTACATGATATACATAAGTAAATGACCACAGTAACCTAGTATTTGATAAATTCAAACATACAAGCTATTGGGGCAAGAACTCACTGTTCAGCAAAATTGCTGGAAAAATTGAGTTTGGCAAAAACTAGGCATAGACCAACATCTCACACCATATACCAAGATAAGCTCAAAAGGCATACATGATTTAGACATAAAGGATGATATCATAAGCACATTAATGGAGTATGGAAAAATTACCTTTCAGGTCTATGGATAAGGGAAGAGTTTATGCCCAAACAAGAGATAGAGAGGATCCCAGGAGGTAAAATGGGTAATTTTGATTTCATTAAAAGGATTTTGCACAAACAAAGCCAGTACAGCCAAAATTAGAAGGAAAGCAGGAAGCTGGGAGAAAAAATTTTATTGGAAGTTTCTCTGATATAGAGCCAGAGCTCTATTCACTGCACCACCTAGCTACCCCTAATTGCCATAATTTTTGAAAACACTTTTATGCCATGTTGAAGCATCAAAATGAGAGTTTAGTGGTGGAGTTTAATGTCCATAGGAAATGCTTTGAAATTAGTAACTGCTGTCTAACAGTGAAGGTGAGCGTAAGGTCCTATTGATTTTACAAGGAACAGTCAGTAATGGTGTTCTAGAGAACATGAGGACCTCAGAAGATCTGAGTATTTCAGAATAATAACAGGAAGATTAGGTATAGGTCAGAAAAGCACATTAATTTAGAAGTTGAGGGAAAGACTAGAAAGGGGTCAGAGCAGGCAAGAGCCACATGTGGAATTAAAAAATGGTATGTCTAGAAGTTTCTCAAATGTATGGGGAATTGAACCAAATTTACAAAAATAAGAGCCATTCTCTAACTGATAAATGGTCACAAAGGATATGAACAAGCAGTTTTCAGAAGAAGAAATCAAAGCTATGACTTCTAGGGCTTTATCCCAAAGAGATCATACAAATGGGAAAAGGACCCACATGTACAAAAATATTCATAGCAGCTCTTTTTGTGGTGGCAAAGAATTGGAAATTGGGAGGATGCCCATCAATTGGGGAATGGCTGAAACAAGTTATGGTATATGAATGTAATGGAATACTATTGTGCTATAAGAAATGATGAATAGGCTGACTTCAGAAAAACCTGGAAAGACTTGTATGGTCTGATGCCGAGTGAAATGAGCAGAACCAAGAGAACGTTGTACACAATAACAGCCACGTTGTGCGATGACTAATGTTGATAAACTTACCCCTTCCCAGGAATACAAGGATCTAAGACATCTCCAAAGGCCTCATGATGGAAAATGCTATCCACATCCAAAGAAAGAATTGTGGAGTTTGAATGCAGATCGAAGCATACTATTTGTTATTTTTTTTTCTTCTGTTGACTTTTGTTTCCTCTTTCTGGTGCTTCCTCCTATTGGTTCTAATTCTGACTTACAACATCACTAATGTGAAAATATGTTTATTAGGAATGTATATGTATAGCCTATATCAGATTGTGTGCCGTCTTGGGGAGGGATGTGGGGAGGGAGGGGGAATTTTAAACTTAAAAGCATATGGAAGTGATTGTTGATAAATCAAAATAAATTAATTTTAAAAAAAGAATTCAAAGCTGTCAATAGTCACATGAAAAAATGTTCTAAATCACTAATATTTAGGCAAATGCAAATTAAAACAACTCAGAGGTACCACATTGCACCCATCAGATTGACTAACGTGACAGAAATGGAAAATGACCGATGATGGAGGGGATGTGGGAAAATAGAAAAACTAATACACTATTGATAGAGCTATGAACTGGTCCAACCATTCTTTTTTTTTTTTTTATGAGGGCAATTGGGGTTAAGTGACTTGCCCAGAGTCACACAGCTAGTGAGTATTATGTGTCTGAGGCTGGATTTGAACTCAGGTCCTCCTGACTCCAAGGCCAGAGCTCTATTCACTGCACCACCTAGCTACCCCTAATTGCCATAATTTTTGAAAACACTTTTATGCCATGTTGAAGCATCAAAATGAGAGTTTAGTGGTGGAGTTTAATGTCCATAGGAAATGCTTTGAAATTAGTAACTGCTATCTAACAGTGAAGGTGAGCATAAGGTCCTATTGATTTTACAAGGAACAGTCAGTAATGGTGTTCTAGAGAACATGAGGACCTCAGAAGACCTGAGTATTTCAAGAATAATAACAGGAAGATTAGGTATAGGTCAGAAAAAGCACATTAATTTAGAAGTTGAGGGAAAGACTAGAAAGGGGTCAGAGCAGGCAAGAGCCACATGTGGAATTAAAAAATGGTATGTCTAGAAGTCAAGAGCTCCTTCCTTAAATACCTCAAAACATATAACTGAATATCCAACTAGCATTAAGGAAAAACTGAAATACCTGTGTTATAAATTATGGTGAGGAAATACAGGGGAGGAAAAAATTAGAATTTGGGGAAGCCAGCAGTAAGAGAACCTAAAGTAAAGATGGAGGTGAGAAAGGTATCAGTCTATTTTCCCTGTTCAGCTTAAGGAGAGTCCTGAACACTAAATAGAAGAAAAACTTAATTTTCTCAAAACAATCTGAGAGAAGGGCTAGGAAGGGCTCCATACGGAAAAGCAGTGTGAACATTGAAAAACTGAAGAAATTAACGCAATGGCCAGCCACAATTCCACAGGACTAATAATGAAGCATGCTGCCCACCTTCTGACAGATGGACTCGAGATGCAGAATAAGATAGACATTTTCGGACAAGGCCAATGTGGAAGTTTATTTTGTTTGACTATGCTTATTTGTTACAAGGGGTTTGCTTTTCTTTTTTTCAACTGGAAGGGAAGAGGAGCTAGGGATAGGGTTGCCAATAAAAGAAAGATTTTATTTTTAAAAATAATTTTTAAAAAAGATAAAAATAGTGTGCCTAAGAACTGGTGAACATCTGATAAGGATAGGAAATAGACTGAAGAAAGTTTATACTAGTTTTGACCATGAAAAAACACCAAGGAAAGAAGAGAACAAGGGTCTAGTGAGTAGCTATATAAAGGGAGAAGGGTCCTCCATCTTGAGCAGCTCTTAAGGTGCAGAAATACCAAAGAGAATTGGTAAGAACTGGAGAGCCTCTGAATTGCCCAATTGTGTTCATCATTCAGACCAAAGGTTTCTTTTTGAAAATTCTATATTTAATGTTTCCATAGCTGGAAATGAGCAACTTCATTTGTAACCCTTCACTTTCCATAAGAAGTACTTTTCCCTGTCCTTTTTTTTTTTTCCCCAAAGGCTCTAGAAATAAGCTTGAACCTCCTTCAGAAATCTTGGTGACTCTTGGCTTTCATATCCTGTCTTAATAGGGAGGCACCAAAGTATAGTGGGAGGAAAAAAGGCCAGGATTGACTTTTGAAACAATTTTTGTGTCTCCAGGACAAACTGCTGTGTTTCATCCCCTTCTTTATAAACAGGGTTCCCCATTTCTAAACCTGATATGATCTTTCATTTGGAGCAAGGGGAAGAGCCATGGATGCTTGATTTACAAAGAATTGAAGAAGGAGAGATCTCAAGAAATTCCTATTTGGGTGAGTAAGAGACTGACAGGTAAGACTTAATGGAAATAATAGCCCAAGTGGTTAGTGAGGGGGCCTTCTCAGTGACCCCAATACCTGCTGAGATTGTTGATTCCCAGGACCCATGCTGGAAAGCTGTTTCCCATTTTGTGGCAATAGGGGTGGAAGATTTTTTTTCCCCTCAACAGTGATTCTTCTGCTCTCCTCTTTATTTTGTTAGCCCCTGACTCTTTCTCTCTCTTCATCTTTCCAGAAACCATCCTTTTTTCAATGAAAGTTTTATCTTCCCAGATCATGTCCTCATCCTTATGCATTCCTGGATATTTCTCCTCATCAATATCTCCTCCTCTTAAGGATGATGAGAATCAGATTACCTTAACTCCTGGATAGGCTCGATCATATATTTTGCTCACCTTTCTCTCCTTCACAATTCTTTGTCTTCTATTTTCTAGCCTCTTCTCAGTTTACAAGTCTATTTAGAAGACCATCCCAATAATGTGGGTGATCCAGGAGACATTTTTATCTTATCCACTTTCAACCAGATATTTTCCTTTTTTTTTTTTAATTTTTTTTAAGGCAATTGGGGTTAAGTGACTTGCCTAGGGTCACACAGCTAGTAAGTGTCAAGTGTTTGGTCTGAGGCCAGATTTGAACTCAGGTCCTCCTGACTCCAGGGCTAGTGCTCTATCCACTGCACCACCTAGCTGCCCCAGAGATTTGCCTTTTAAAAAGCACATGGAATACATTACTTTGTGTTTTCTTTTGATTTCAGAGAGGGAGAGTAAACCTGAGACCCAGGGGTCAACTCTAAAGCAGAGCATTTCTGAAGAAGTGGAATCATCAGAAATATTAGTGGAAAGATTCACAAGAGAAGTTACTGTACCTGAGGTTAAATTGGAGAAGAAAAGAGAAAATTCTGAAGGGAAGACAAGGAGAAAATCTGTTTCCCATAAGAGAAGTCTCAAGATCAAGTCAATAAGTGACCAAAAAAATTCCAGTAAGGAGAGAGGCCCTGAATGTAATTTATGTGGGAAAACCTTCAGGCACAGAAGTAGCCTTCGGAGACATCAGATTACTCACACAGGAGAAAGACCCTATGAATGTAATGAATGTGGGAAAGCTTTCTTTGACTGTTCATCCCTTACTATTCATGAAAGAATTCATACTGGAGAGAAGCCCTATGAATGTGACGAATGTGGGAAAGCCTTCTTTAACTGCTCAAATCTTACCAGACATCAGAGAATTCATACTGGAGAGAGTCCCTACAAATGTAATGAATGTGGTAAAGCCTTCAGACATAGCAGTAGCCTTAGGAGACATCAAATGACTCACACAGGACAAAGACCCTATGAATGTAATGAATGTGGAAAAGCCTTCTTTGATCGTTCAACTCTTATCATACATGAGAGAATTCATACTGGAGAGAAGCCCTATGAATGTGATGAATGCGGGAAAGCCTTCTTTGACAGATCATCCCTTACTCAACATCAGAAGATTCATAGTAAAGAGAAGCTCTATGAATGCGGTGAATGTGGGAAAGCCTTCAACTTGAGAAGGCACCTTAACCGACATCAAATAACTCATACTGGAGAAAAACCTTATGAATGTAGTGTATGTGGGAAAGTTTTCAGTCGCAAGTCATCTGTTATCCAACATCAACGACGCTATGCCAAAGAATGATCCTAGGAATATCATGAATTGAGGGAAAACTTCAGCCAGACTTGTCACTTTATTAAATGCTCAAGAGTCAAGGTGGGACCACAGACTCCATTAAAAACTTGATGTTGACTCCCCTAACCTAAATAAACCTGTTGTTGAAGCCTGTTAACTTTTCTTCTTACTATTTAAATTTTCTCCTTCCTTTTGCTATCAAACTCTCTGAGTAAGTGGTCTGTAGGTAATATGTCATGAGCCTGGCCTCAAGTACTTTAAATACAAAATTAACTAAAAACTTCTCAAGAAATGTTTCTTGCTGTCCTTGCTGGCCTCAACTTGAGACAGACACAACTCAAAAGGAAACTTCAATTTCCCTCATCCTCTTTAAGTCATAAATCTTCCCCTACCTAATTATGAGTATTTTTTCTCCATACCCTCCATTAATGGTTTAGAGCCTCAAATCCTTGGGACACTATAGCTAAAAGCATTAAATGCATGTCAGGATTTTTAATTATTTTAGTCCATTGGAGAACAGCTTATAATAAACATTCAGATCTTCTAGAGGACATGAACCTGACCTCAGACCATGCTTTGTATCCCAATCAGTCATCTACCAGAAAACTTGTGCTTGCATGCCTGGGCATCTTGCCCTCTTCCCCGTCCCTCCTTTCCCCTTCCCCATTTGAAGCAATACTTTTCAGACTACCTCTGGAGACCAAGCCAGCCCAGGCCTCCAACTTCTTTGGAGATGTTGATCCAGTAGGGTTGAGCTGTTCTGATTGGTGAGAGCAAATACATCTAACCCACTATGTCTACCTGGCCCCAGACCATGCTTAACATCCCATTCAGCCCTTTGCTATCCCTATTCAGGCTATTGCCATCTGCTTCACCCCTCTTTCTACCTTTTGCTCTGGGAACAGTAATCAACTCAATATACCTTTGTCACAGAAAAGGAAGTGGTAATTGATTTCTCTGTTGCCTCCACTTAAAATCTGTGACTTACCAGACCACTCCGTTCCCAGACAACCCCCTCCCAATATATATATGTATATGTGTATATTTGTGTGTATATATGTATACATATAAATTACATCCTGTATAAATTATATGTGCATATATGCATATATATATGTATATATAAATTACCTTCTAATTAGAGAACAATCTTTTTCTCTAATTAGAATGTAAACTCTTTGAGGGCAGAGATTGTCTTGCTTTTGCATCCCTGTGCCTAATACAATGTATGGCAAATACTAAGCATTCAAAAGGATTTTTTTTAATTCATTCACTTATTTGTTTGTCCACTCCAGCTTTGTTTTTAGCTGTTAGCTCTACTTCTCTTGCCTTGGATCCAATCCATTTCTCCTAACTGGATCTTCTTGCATTCTAGTTCTTGGTACAATTGGTTGTCCCATTGATCCAAGCTGGTTGTCCAGCCTCACCGTCGGGTATGACAGGAGGCCCATCACTCCTGCAAGCCTTGCCCCTACTTTTTCATTACTCATTTACTCCTTAACCTTGTGCCCTCAACTATGACTTCTCTTAAAAGGGCACTAGTGATTTTTAAAAATTGACTTAAAAGTGTCAGGATGCATTTTGCTTTTACATCAGTTGTTTCTGAATACATCCAGTGCCACCACCCCTGAACACCTTTTCTTGTGCCTCCTCACCTGGCATAGTATACTGTATCTGATGTTTTGCGCCCATAGGACCCCATCTCTTCAAGGAAAGAAAGGATATGTATTTTATTCATATTTAGGGCCAAGACTGGCCATTAATATACAGTGTTTGGCTTCATTTTAATGTTTTTCTTTAAAAATATTATTATACCTTTTCTTAGTTCTTATCTTTGGGTTGGATCCAAGGCAAGTTTCTAAGAGATGTAGAGCTGACAGCCACAAATGGAGTTGATGTGGACAAATGAATGAGTGAATGAATAAAAAAATCATTTTAAGTGCTTAATATTTGCCACACATTTGTGCTAGGCACAGGCATGCATGTCTACATCTCTACATGACCCTTTCAACTACTGTCTTCTTTGAACTCTCCTTTGTTTTAATGACGTTACCACTTCTGTCTCTAACCACTGTGTTTTTTTCTTCTTGCCGGTAAAAGGTTTTTCCCTGAGGCTCAGTCCCTGGCTTTTTGTGTTTGCATTTATTCCTTGGAAAAACCTTATTCTTATGGCGTTAGTTATTACCTCTATGTTAATGATTCCAAATCTACAGCTATTTCAGAGCCCTGTAACAGAGTGCTGGAAATTAAATGACTAATTTGGACAGGCAACCAATCACTAAATCTACATGCCTCCCTTTACTCCCCTAACGTTGCCTTAAACTTAAATCTGGAGTGGCAACCCCAGGTCATTCTCACTAAACCAGAGAAGGAAAAGTTTTAACGTACTGTCACATAACAGTATCAGTGGGATCTGGCCAAGTAGAGAATGCAAGGGGAACCAAGATGCCAGATCTGAGGGGACAAGTGAAGACAAATAGGCCAAATGGGGCAAATGAAAACGGGAAACAGCTGCCTATGAAAACCGTAGAGTATCCAGGTTGAGAAATATAACTAGTTCCTCACAACTGAGGATGATAGGGCCAGGATATTGTAGCAGGATGGGGTGGGAGCCCTTAACCCCGGCTCCTTCACCCCATCCCCCAGCATCTTAAAGAACACATGACTAAGAATCTGGGTCTTTATAATCTACGGTCATGAGACATCTTCGTTTGGTTGTCCCCTATCATCTTAAACTTAACTAAACTTATCTTCTTCGTCCCAAATCAGTTTCCCTTTCCAAGTGACCCATTCCTGTCAATGGCATCAGCTGTATCCTATTTTTCAGACCTGACCTTAAAATCTTTTTGGATCAAAACCTGTCCATTTTTAATTTATGATTTTTCTTACACACATCCTTTCTATTCACACTGATACTTCCCCAGTTAAGGCCCTTATCTATGTCTGGTCTACTGCATTAGTTTACTGTCTGACCTCCTACCTCCAAGCTGTCCTTACACAGTCCATCCTGCATATTTTTGCTAGATTAATCTTACTAAACATTGCTATTAGAGGAAACTGGTGGTACAGTGGATAGAATACCAAGCCTGTAGTTGGGAAGTCCTGAATTCAAATCTAGCCTCTGACACTTACTAGATGTGTGACCTTGGTCAAATCATTTAATCTCTACCTCAATTTCCTCAATTTTAGAATGGACGTAATAATAGCACCCACCTCCCATGGTTGTTTTATCAAATGAGATAATATTTGTAAAAATGGCTAGGCAAAGTGGCACAGAGTAGGTGCTATATAAGTGCTTTTTCCTATTATTATTACAAATACTTGTTCAAAGCTTTTAATGGGTCTCCGCTGCTAGTAGGATTAAGTTTAACCTTACTTTAACATTCAAGGTTTTCCACAGTCTAGGCCCACACTACCAAGTCATCTTACTTTTCCCTGACATGAATTCTCCACTTGAGCCAGAGCTTCTAACTGGGCTTCCCATTTCTAAATCTCATGTAATCTTCCTATCAGAGAAAGGGAGAGAGACATGAATGCCTGAAGAGAGAGGGCCCAAGAAATACCACTTTAGGTAAGTGAGGAAGGGAGTGAGACTAAACCGGACAGATAGATAGGAATCCTTCGGAAGAGCAACCCAGCAGTTTATTGAGAGGGAGTTCTCAGTAGTCCCAAGGCATGTGCCAAAGACCCAGGTAGAAAAACGCTTCTTTTCAGACAAGGTGAGAGGTTATTTTCTTCTCAATTGAGATTCTAATTCTCTTTTCATATTCAAATTTTGCCACCCGTCAGCTATTACTCTCCCCTCTCCTTACTCACTGATTTCATTTTTCTCAGATCCGATCCTTTTTCTGAATCATTCTTTGATATTATTGTTTATCAATCTTTTGTACTGCATGACCTATTGCCCTTATTACCTCTACCAGGTTCCTAGATAGATCATCTCATATTCTCTGTTTACCTTGCTTAGAGAATTTGTCACCTACTCCCTACTTCCACCTCTCCCTGGGCTTGAGGTTTTTGAAAGCTGCCATTACCACGAATCTTCAGTAGACATTTAATTTAGTTTTCTTTATACTTATAGCATTTTCCTTCTTTATGGTATAGAAAGCATGACTTTTATTTTCTCTTCATTTCAGAGTGGGAGAATAGATCTGAAACCCAGGATTCAACTCTAAAGCAGAATTATAATTAGAGAGAGAATTAATAAATCTATAACCAAAAAATTGAGAAATAGAAAAAAATAAAACAGACACTTTTAACTATAAAATTTAAATATTTTTATACAAAATCAATGCAAGAGATCATAAATATGAAGAATTGAGAGAAGCATGGGAAGACATATGAACTGATGCAGAATGAAATAAGTAGAACCAGGAAGACAGTATACAGAATGACTACAATATTATATGAAGGAACAAAGAAACTGAATGCTGTGCAATTATAATGACCAAACTTGGACCTGGAGAAAAATTGAAAGAATATATTTCCCTTCTTTCTTCACAGATGTGAAAGATTCTGTGTATGAAATTTTGCATAGGCCTTCAGACTTGAGTTGATTTTGCTAAATTACTTTTTTCCCTTAAATCTTTGTTACAAGGGATAGCTCACTGGGGAGGGGTGAGGGAGGAGATATATTTGAAAACAAAGGTGACATAATAAACAAATTTCTTGTAATTCTAAAAAATGTTAGGAATACCATAAGATAAGAAAACAAGCATAAAGATAGACAAAAGGGAGATAAAACTATCTGTATTTGCTGATGATCTGAGGGTTTACTTAGAAAATCTTAGGGAATCATCAAAGACAGTAATTGAGATAACAGCTTTGGCAAAGTTGAAAGTTACAAAATTAACTCACAAAAATAACATAATTTCTACATAATAACAAAATTCAGGAGGCAATAATAGAAAATGAAATCCCATTCCAAATAAATACAAAATGAATTGAAATATTTGGGGATCAATCTATCAAAACAGCTTCAACACTTAGATTCAATTACAAAGTGCTTCTTAGAGAAAAAAACAACTTAAATAGCTGGAAGAATATTTGATTGAGCTCATGAATATACCATAATATGCCAATACAATAAAATATCAATACTACCAAGGTAATCTATAGTTTTAATGCTACTCTAATCAAATTATCAAAGGGATATTT